TTTGTTACAACTGAACCACTGTTAGATATTGTTACAGGCTGAATTTTGTCTGCCTCAAATTCATATGTTGAAGCTCTAACCCCAGTGCCTCAGAATGTGACTGTATTTGGAGATAGGGCCTTTATAGATGTGATTAAGTTAAAATGAAATTGTTAGCATGGGCCCTAACCCAATCTGACTGGTATCCTTATAAGAAGAGGAAATTTGGATACACAAAGAGACACCAGGGATGCGCATGCACAGAGGGGAGACGGTGTGAGGATGCAGAGAGATGGTGGCCACCTGCATGCCAAGGAGAGAGACTTCAGAAAAAGCCGAAGTTCCCACCACATTGATGCTGAATTTCAGAACTCTGAGAAAATAAATTTCTGTTGTTTAAACCACTGTTTTGTTGTATTTTGTTATGGCAGCCCCAGCAAAGAGTGGATATCCTTCAATCTCACCTTCAGCAGCCAGAGGCAACCCAGGGCCTGGCATACATGAGATCTGCTCAGTCCAACCCCAGCACCACTGGCCACATGTGGCTATTGTGCACTTGACATGAGGCTAATCTGAATTGAGGTGTGCTATATGTGTAAGACACACTCTAGATTGTTGAAACCTTCGTATGAAAAAACCCCCACAAAATATTTTATTAATATATTTTCATATTGATTACATATTTATCAATAGTATTTTGGATATCTGGGGTTAAATAAAATGTATCATCAAAAATTAATCTCACCTGCTTTTTTTTTTAACTTTAATGTGGCTACTAGAAAATTTCAAATTATGTATGTGCTTTGCCTTACATTTGTGGGATGGAATTGTACTAGATGTTTAAAAAAAATCTTTTGAGCCATGGGAACCTCTTGTACTCTTATTTTCTTCATGCCTAAGACTTGAAATTAGGTGGACTCTAGAATTCTTCCCCTGGTAGGAGTGCAGAAAACGGTATTGACGATCCAAAGAAGAATAGACATATCACAGGTGAAATAGGAGGACAGCAAAACTTCCTGGAGTTCCTTTATTGGAACTAATCCATGCATTAACAATTACCAACAGGGACTTCCCTGCCGGTCCAGTGGTTAGGACTCCACGCTTCCACTGCAGTGGGTGTGGGTTCAATCCCTGGTGGGGGAACTAAGATCCCACATGCCGTGCAGTACGGCCAAAAGAAAAACCAAAACCCCAAAACAACAACAAAACCCCCCAAAAAACAATTACCAACAAAAGAACTACAGGTGGTGAAGGCAGTATTTAAAGTGGGGTAAATGCAGACCCAGAGGCTGAGAATTCTTTGCAGTGATCACATCTGGTCTTGATTATTACCTGGTGTATCAGTCAGGGTTCTCAGCTGCAGACAACAGCACCGTCTTTGGCTAACCTGAGCAAAAATGAAAGACTTAGAAAGAAATCAAGATAAGGCACAGAATTGCTGCTGAGGCTGCAGAACCCATCTTGTGAAATGGGCTAGGGCCAAAGGACTAGAAAGGCAGCCCAGGTCATCCTGCCTGAGCAATAGGTTAGGATGGCACTTCTCACCCTACTGCTCCTGGCACTTGAAGCCCATCTGGTGGAGCCTCTATGCCACCACCTCCTCTGCACTCTGACACTGCTCCAGGGTGCTTTCTCAGCTGTCCATACATCTAATCACTCTTCCAAGATCAAAGTCACAGGTTTGGGGAACTGACTGAGGGAGCTGGGTCACTGGGGCTCTAGAGCTCATGCTGCTGGGGGTGAGAAGAGGGAGGATGTGGCGCCTTAACTCCTGAAAGAGGTGGAATCTGCCTCCCACCAAGACTCGCATGAGGGGAATCAGCCACACGGGACATGGATTTGGATGAGTGTAGACAACAAAAACAGAAAAAAAATTCAGACCAGTACAAAGACAGGAAGAATCCTTTTCCTCAGGACTGTCTTAGTTTTGTGGAGAGCAATAAACTCAAGAGCTACACTATAGTTAATCTGTATTCTATTTATGTTATTATTTGTATAATAAACCCTTTCATAGCATGCAGTATGATTATATATATATATAAATATAAATATGGTGGTCACTCTTCTAAATGTTTCATAAATATTAATTCTGCTAACCTTCATATCAACTTCTCTATCATCATCTCTATTTATGGATGGTTAAACTGAAGCCCAAAGAAGTAAAGTAACTTGGCCAAAATCACACAGCTAGTAGGTGGTAGGAGAGATTTGAAGCTATGTAGTCTGGGGCTCCAGGGCTGATCGTTTAACTACTATACCACACTGCTCCTTACTACAGCAATTTTTTTCTGTAGTTATGCCTAAGAAGATGTTTAGTAAGCAATATATAATTTATTCCGTTATGTGGGTTCTGTCCTTTGAACCATTTTTACTGTCTTTATATATAAAGCCCTGAGTTTACAGAGAGAAGTCTTTGAATAGCGGGTGATGTAATTAACAACTGCAATGAAGCAACTTACCTACAAGTTGTAAAGATCAGATAAATGACAGATGTTACAGGATAGTTCATGATAAGAAAATACTTCATACTTTTGGCCCCAGAGGACTCTTACTTTAAGAAATGTTTCCAACTTCTTTTATAAATAATTCTTTTTTCTTAACCCCTTATATGATTTTTCAGTGATTTTCTAAAAATCAAACTTTTATTTTGTTGTGTCAAGATATTGAGTCCTATCCAGACCCCTGGTTATACAGGAATTTACTCATGTTTTCTAATAGAACTTGTAAGCTTTCATTTATTTACATTTAGAGCTTTATCCATTTGGCGGTTATACTTATGTGTGGTGTGAGGTATAGATCTAAAATTTGATCTTTTCCCAAATAGTTATCCAGTTGTCCCAATATCATGTTTTAAAAAGCCCATCCTCTTCTAGTGATTTAAGACACCATCACCACAGTGATTTCTGTTTCTTTAAGTTCAACTTAACTAATATATATATATATATTGAGTACACACCATGGATTGGACACTGCACTTAAGAAGTACAAAGAAGAAGACTTGGCCTCTGGCCTTGAACTTGTGGCAGCCTAATTCAGACTTCTAAAAGTAAAGCCATTTCTTAAAGTGAGACAACAGACTTTATCAATAACGTTTCATTAAAAGGCAAGATCGCTCACTTTTCTCAAGACCATCTGATTTTGATCACTTCAGAAAACTGAGAAATTTGCTGTGGCTGAAGTACAGCTGTGATACTCAGAAACGTTGCTTATTTAAGAGAAAAACTGTCCTTACTTTTTAAACTCATCTGACTTTTGAGAACTGAGAAACGCTTCTTTCCTACTGTCTGGTGTATATCAGGGACCCTGAAACCACAGAAGAAAGGGAAGCCGAACACACAATCACTTGTCTGATAACGGCCGTTTCCCTTTATCTCATGTCTTGAGCACATCTGAGTGCTGTGCCCAGCAGTTTAAGGATCTCTCTTTCTCAGCTTGTATTTACTGCTTTTTTATTAGAAACTTTTTTCTTTTTTTTTTTTTTTCCCGGTACGCAGGCCTCTCACTGTTGTGGCCTCTCCCGTTGCGGAGCACAGGCTCCGGACACACAGGCTCAGCGGCCATGGCTCATGGGCCTAGCCGCTCCGCGGCATGTGGGATCTTCCTGGACCGGGGCACGAACCCGTGTCCCCTGCATCGGCAGGCGGACTCTCAACCACTGCGCCACCAGGGAAGCCCTATTAGAAACTTTCTCGTCTAATGGTTTCCTGAGCGTAGATTAGAAATTTGCAACAAGAGACATTTTCCCTGGTAAGGAATTACTTTGGTTATGAACTAATGGGAACTAGTGGTACATATTTACTGTTAAATATTCTGTTTCCTCTTTTACAAATATCACACATTGCACAAATATTTGTGGTGTGCCTTCCAAATACAAGGTGCAACAGTGTGTTACAGAATGACATATGCTGGGTTCTGGTTTCAACTTCTCAGTTTCGCTTGTATGGTATTTTTTCCTCTATTTTCTTCTAGTTACATGATTATGCAGATGTTACATGCATATCCCAGATATAAAATCTCAGGGTTGGTAGGAAGCTTAGCAGTTACTTGATTTATCAGCCATGTCTTGCATCCACTGGTGCTCCGCTCATGTTTAAAATTTTATTAGAACAGATGGATCAGAGTGAGTTCAGAGAAGGTACGTCTATGGAACTTGACTAGTTACTGACTTGAATCACAGAATGGTGATTGTAAGGAAGGTAGTTCAGATAAGTGCTGTATGGGGAAAAGAAGAAATGGAAGAAAACAAGCGGCCAATATACAGGGAACTATATAATTTATCATACAAGCCAGAACATTTTTGAGGGTGAAAGGGATACTATTAATAATTATGTTAGGACAATAGACACAAGCTGGGACTGTCCTTGGTAAATCATAATAGATCTATAGTAATTTAGGAAGATGGAAAGAGTAAGCATACTGTCCATTAAGAACCTAGAGATATCATAAGGGCCTGACGAGTGTGTTTACGGGACTGCCCAGATAAATTTTTCCTCCTGGTATAATCGTAGTCTTGACACTTAAATTTACGTTTGCAGTTAAGGGGCAAAACAATCAGATCTGGGGATCAGAGATGCTTTCTCTGCAGCCTCTCAATAGTCTCTTCAATTTGTTTCAATACCAAGGAAATCAGAAATCTCAGACCAATGCCGGATGTGGCAGGAATCCCAGGACAATCCACAACTTCCCTGCCAATTTAGGGTTATCTGCCTGGAACCATTTCAACTGGCAGTGGCAAGTACCTTATGAAGCAACCAGGATGAAGTTGTTACCAGGATGAAGTTGTTACCAGGATGAAGATCCATGTCAGCTAAGGCTTGCTAAGTGTGTCACGCATTCAGCTAAGATTTACTGCCTGTCTGTTGCCTTACTAGTATTTCATTTAATCATATGTCCCCATGCGGCTGCTCTTCTTGCTTCATCTTACGTAAGAGGAGACTCAGGCTCATAAAGCTAAGTGACTCCACCAAGGTGACAGCCGAACAGGGACTAGGATAGAGACTCAAGCCTGCTCCTCTTTCTCGTTCTGCCACGTACTGGCAGGTGGCAGAAGCGCCCGGAGACGTTCGCGGAGGTCCATAGTAGGCCACGCACTGCCCTGCTCCCTTGGCCTTGGACATCCACCTCCCCTTCGATAAAGTGCTCCAGTGGGTGAAGCCGAAGGAGAGGCAGCGAACGGATACACGCGAAGGCTTAACTCGGACCGTGAACTTGGGCCGAGTAGGAAAGGCTCGCTCCGCCCTCCCCCAACATTACGGCGGCTGCGTCAACAAGCTGTGGCCCACACTCAACATGGCGGCGGCGGCGCCAGCGGCCTCCTGCCCTTCTCCATCATGGCGGCAGCCGGACCCGCCTCCGCGGGCGCCGGAGTCATGTGACCCACACAATGGCTGAGCACCTACTCCAGGCTTCCCGGCAACGCCAAGTGAAAGCCATGACGGCCGCCGCGGGTTCGGCGGGCCAAGCCGCGGTGCCCCTGCTGCTGTGCGCGCTGCTGGCGCCCGGCAGCGCGTACGTGCTCGACGACTCCGATGGGCTGGGCCGGGAGTTCGACGGCATCGGAGCTGTCAGCGGCGGCGGGGTGAGCAGCGGGGGGTGGGACGCACGGGTGGCGTCAGGGCACAGCTTCGTCTCGCCCCACAAGCCCCCGCGACGTAGCCCAGCGTTTCGACGCTCTCCCGTTGCGGCCCGGCTCCCGGCGGGCGCCCTTCGCCTGGCTGTCCAGACCCGCCGGCCGCGGGGCTGGAACCTGCGTTTGCTGGTTTAAAATGAACCTGTAGAGCCAGTTAGATTTAACAGATTCGGGGGTCCACCGAGTAAGTGACAGGTCTAGATAGTGACAAGGCTGGAGCTCAAACCCTTCCTTTCTCTGGGCAGCGGGGCCTGTGTGTGTGTGGGGTCTCTTCGCCTTGGAGAGGGCACTCTGGGAGGGTCGCTCCAGAGACGGCCAGGGAGCCGAGGAGCATCCGTCTGCTGAAGAGGATGCCCCAGTGGGATGCTTTGGCTGTGCCTCTTCTTTTTTAGGGAGGGGGTTCCGGAGTCCTGGACCAGTACTGCAGGATGCGGTTGGGCTCTTTCAAGGGGTCAAGTACCGAATAAGTTTTTTTTTTTTTGCGGTACGCGGGCCTCTCACTGTTGTGGCCTCTCCCGTTGCGGAGCACAGGCTCCGGACGCGCAGGCTCAGCAGCCATGGCTCACGGGCCCAGCCGCTCCGCCGCATGTGGGATCTTCCCGGACCGGGGCACGAACCGGCGTCCCCTGCATCGGCAGGCGGACTCTCAACCATGGCGCCACCAGGGAAGCCCCCGGATAAGTTTTTGTTTGGAGGCACAGCAGGTATCTCAAGGCCTCTTTAGGAAGGTGAGAGGCTAGAAACTGGGACTTTTTTTTTTTTTCTTTATTTTTCTAATGGCAGAGGCTACACCAGTGTCAACTGATAGTTTAGGATTGTTTACTGTTGGAGGATTGTTTTCCCCTGGGATGGCAAAGGCCTAAGGGGGTGAGTTGCCCTCTGGAAGGGGCAGTGCCTCACTGGTGGCTATTTATGTGTGTGAGGAGAGGGAAACGATGGGTCACCAGTCAAGATAGTGACTCACCACCGTTAAGATGCGTAAGAATCACCTGGTCGTTTGTTTCCATGCAGACTCTGGCCTCCCCGCCAGCTCCCATTCTGACTTTACAGTTCTGGAGTGGGGCCTGAGAATCTGGTTTTTAACAAATGCGCCAGTGCCTTCTCATACTAAATGTTGAGAGAACTATTTTCCTGATTCAAGGGTCTCTGGAGCAAGCGGTTTTTTGTTTTTTAAATAAAATTTTAATTTAAAGATAGTTTCTGATTTACAGAAAAGTTGCCAAGACAATACAGAGTTCTCATATACCCTGTAGCCAGTTTTCTCCTGTTATCAGCATCCCACATTAGTACGGGACATTTGTCCCAACCAATATTAATTACGTTAATGAAAGTCTGTACTTCCTTTCATATTTCCTTAGTTGTTACCTAATGCTCTTTTTCGGTTTCAGGATCCTATCCAGGATACTAATTGCATTTAATTGGCATGTCTTTTTAGTCTTTTTTAGGCTGTGTCACTTGGGATAAGTTTGTATTATCTGGGCATTTTAAAATACTTACGTTAAGGGAGACATGAGGGCCATTCCAGCTTAATGCAACATTTGTGTGGGCACAGCTGGTAATTTCCTTAGTTCCCTAGTCATGCTGATGGGTGGCTCCTAGGCCTGGGAGCTTGCCACAGTAGCTTGATTGTTCTTGGCTCCTAACAATTTACTTAGTCCTGTCTCATGCTCTTTGTAACCATTGTCTTGTCTTTGTTTTATCCCCTTGTGTTTATAGCTTTTGGGTCCATGGGGTTTATGGTGGCAGATCTTTGGGTGAGAGGGATTTTCTTTTTTGTACCCTAGATCATAGCTAAAACTGATTTTATTTGAAAATGGTAAGGCAGAATTCTTGAATTGGTTGAATGGGTTGTTTGTTGGGTTGAGTCAGATTGGTGCTTGTATCCTTAGATGCAGTTCAGAACCAGCTTGAATGCTTGCTTGCTGGGTGGATGTTTTGGGCTGGTCTCAGCCTATTGATAACCAGTGCTGTGGAGGGACTGGTCCTTGTGCTTCTTTTTATTTTTTTTTAACGTTTTTATTGCAGTATAACTGCTTTACAATGGTGTGTTAGTTTCTGCTTTATAACAAAATGAATCAGTTATACATATACATATATCCCCATATCTCTTCCCTCTTGCATCTCCCTCCCACCCTCCCTCCCTATCCCACCCCTCTAGCTGTTCACAAAGTACCGAGCTGATCTCCCTGTGCTATGTGGCTACTTCCCATTAGCTATATATTTTACATTTGATAGTATATATATGTCCATGCCACTCTCTCACTTTGTCCCAGTTTACCCTTCCCCCTCCCCATGTCCTCAAGTCCATTCTCTAGTAGGTCTGCGTCTTTATTCCTGTCTTGCACCTAGATTCTTCATGACTTTTTTTTTTTTTTTTAGATTCCATATATATGTGTTAGCATGTGGTATTTGTTTTCTCTTTCTGACTTACTTCACTCTGTATGACAGACTCTAGGTCCATCCACCTCACTACAAATAACTCAATTTTGTTGCTTTTTATGGCTAATATTCCATTGTATATATGTTCCACATCTTCTTTATCCATTCATCTGTTGATGCACACTTAGGTTGCTTCCATGTCCTGGCTATTGTAAATAGAGCTGCAATGAACATTGTGGTACATGACTCTTTTTGAATTATGGTTCTCTCAGGGTATATGCCCAGTAGTGGGATTGCTGGGTCGTATGGTAGTTCTATTTTTAGTTTTTTAAGGACCCTCCATACTATTCTCCACAGTGGCTGTATCAATTTACATTCCCACCGACAGTGTATGAGGGTTCCCTTTTCTCCACACCCTCTCCAGCATTTACTGTTTGTAGATTTTTTGATTATGGCCATTCTGACCGGTGTGAGGTGATATCTCACTGTAGTTTTGATTTGCATTTCTCTAATGATTAATGATGTTGAGCATTCTTTCATGTGTTTGTTGGCAGTCTGTATATCTTCTTTGGAGAAATGTCTGTTTAGGTCTTCTGCTTTTTTGGATTGGGTTGTTTGTTTTTTTGATATTGAGCTGCATGAGCTGTAAATTTTGGAGATTAATCCTTTGTCAGTTGCTTCATTTGCAAATATTTTCTCCCATTCTGAGGGTTGTCTTTTCATCTTGTTTGTGGTTTCCTTTGCTGTGCAAAAGCTTTGAAGTTTCATTAGGTCCCATTTGTTTATTTTTGCTTTTATTTCCATTTCTCTAGGAGATGGGTCAAAAAGGATCTTGCTGTGATTTATGTCATAGAATTTTCTGCCTATGTTTTCCACTAAGAGTTTGATAGTGTCTGGCCTTGCATTTAGGTCTTTAATCCATTTTGAGTTTATTTTTGTGTATGGTGTTAGGGAATGTTCTAATTTCATTCTTTTACATGTAGCTGTCCAGTTTTCCCAGCACCACTTATTGAAGAGGCTGTCTTTTCTCCATTCTATATTCTTGCCTCTTTTATGAAAGATAAGGTGACCATATGTGCATGGGATTATCTCTGGGCTTTCTGTCCTGTTCCATTGATCTATATTTCTGTTTTAGTGCCAGTACCATACTGTCTTGATTACTGTAGCTTTGTAGTATAGTCTGAAGTCCAGGAGCCTGATTCCTCCAGCTCCGTTTTTCTTTCTCAAGATTGCTTTGGCTATTCGGGGTCTTTTGTGTTTCCATACAAATTGTGAAATTTTTTGTTATAGTTCTGTGAAAAATATCAGTTGTAGTTTGATAGGGATTGCACTGAATCTGTAGATTGTTTTGGGTAGTATACTCATTTTCACAATGTTGATTCTTCCAATCCAAGAACATGGTATATCTCTCCATCTATTTGTATCATCTTTAATTTCTTTCATCAGTGTCTTATAATTTTCTGCATACAGGTCTTTTGTCTCCTTAGGTAGGTTTATTCCTAGGTATTTTATTCTTTCTGTTGCAGTGGTAAATGGGAGTGTTTTCTTAATTTCACTTTCAGATATTTCATCATTAGTGTATAAGAATGCAAGAGATTTCTGTGCATTACTTTTGTATCCTGCTACTTTACCTAATTCATTGATTAGCTGTAGCAGTTTTCTGGTAGCATCTTTAGTATTCTCTGTGTATAGTGTCATGTCATCTGCAAACAGTGACAGCTTTGCTACTTCTTTTCCCATTTGGATTCCTTTTATTTCTTTTTCTTCTCTGATTGCTGTGGCTACAACTTCCAAAACTATGTTGAATAATAGTGGTGAGAGAGGGCAGCCTTGTCTTGTTCCTGATCTTAGTGGAAATGGTTTCAGTTTTTCACCATTGAGGACGATGTTGGCTGTGGGTTTGTCATATATGGCCTTTATTATGTTGATGTAAGTTCCCTCTGTGCCTACTTTCTGGAGGTTTTTTATCATAAATCGGTGTTGAATTTTGTCGAAAGCTTTCTGTGCATCTATTGAGATGATCATATGGTTTTTTTCCTTCATTTTGTTAATATGGTGTATCACATCAATTGATTTTGCATATATTGAAGAATATACATTCTTGCATTCCTGGGATAAACCCCACTTGATCATGGTGTATGATCCTTTTAATGTGCTGTTGGATTCTGTTTGCTAGTATTTTGTTGAGGATTTTTGCATCTATGTTTATCAGTGATACTGGTCTGTAGTGGGGTTTTTTTTGTGACATCCTTTTCTGGTTTTTGTATCAGGGTGATGGTGGCCTCGTAGAATGAGTTTGCGAATGTTCCTCTCTCTGCTGTTTTGGAAGAGTTTGAGAAGGATGGGTGTTAGCTCTTCTCTAAATGTTTGATAGAATTTGCCTGTGAAGCCATCTACTCCTGGGCTTTTGTTTATTGGAAGATTTTTTTTTTTTTTTGCGGTAGCGGGCCTCTCACTGTTGTGGCCTCTCCCGTTGCGGAGCACAGACTCCGGACGCGCAGGCCCAGCGACCATGGCTCCCGGGCCCAGCCGCTCCGCGGCATGTGGGATCCTCCCAGACCGCAGCAGGA